GATCGTTGCTTGTTCTCTCAGCAACACTCCGTAGCATCCTCTATGATGGAGAGCTGCTCCAGTCTAAGGGAAGCAGAGTACCCACAGGCCCCTCATCCAGGGAGGGTCTCGGGAGGTGAGTCCCTCCTGCTCCTCCTCCTACTGCTCTCCTCGGGTCGATCTCATCATCACCATGCAGGAAGTGACTGGTCCATCGCCTCTACCACCCCAGCAGAGGAGCTCGCCTTGGTCTGTGAGGAGCAGCTCAGAGGAGGTGGTCATTGGTATGGTCCTAGTCGTTGTCTTTATACCCCCCTTCAGGCCACCCTGTGTCAATAGCAGACTTGTGTAAGAAGACAAAAGAGTTGGGGGAGTCGGACCCTAGGGTGATGAATACGACAGCTCTGGCTCTTGGAAAGACTTCTCTCAGCAAATGTTGCGTCACTGCGATGCCTTCCTAAACGCCGCTGCATGTGCCGTTGAGCTGACCTTGATAGCGAGGCACGGTGCGGAGGTGAAGGACTCAGGTGGGGAGGGACATCAATTGAAATCAGCGTATGATGGTCATCTGTTAGAACGAGTGCTGGACCTGGCCAACTTCCTGGCGACATCTGCAACAGCCTTGGATGAATGCACGTAGGGACCTTCCTATCGTTTGGATGCTTATGGTCATGCTGTGGTCAGGTCTAAGAGTATCAAGACCTTCCTGAGGGCACTCCTTGTGGTGGGTTGATCACATCAGTGGTGATGGTTTTTAACGATGATGTTTCCCTTCAGTCGCTCTCTGATCGGGAGTTCCGTCATAAGCACTACGCGGACTGGCAACGGGCGAACATGGCGGTGGTCACAGCCATGAGTAACGCTGAGACGACGATAGTCTACAAAGTGGGCTCATATACCTCTGCTGGGGATCGAACCCGGGTCCTTCGTTCAGGCTCTATTGGAGTTGTCAAGAGAGGATGAGCGTAAAGGGCAGCTGTGCGTCCTTATCACTAGGTGCATCGACAAGCTCAATCGTAACTTGAAGAATTACTTAGTACCTCAACATCGTAAAGGTAAAGAGCAGCAGCTCATACCACACCTTCCCCGAATCAAACAAACTTGTCTCCTCTACTCTCAGACTGTGAAGTTCGAACATTCCGCCTACTGCAAGTTGTCCAGGACCACATTCACAAACTCTTCGTAGAATCCCGTCATAATTCTCGTAACCATGAGCAGCTTCGCTCCGCCGTCCAATTCGATGCATCCTAGGAGATCTCATTGAGAGTGGGTCTATGGGGGACATCTCCCCGAGCGGCGCCGCCCCTGGTCCGAGCAGTGTTGCCTTTACCTCTGATGACAGTATCAAGCGCATCGTGCAGACCGTCTGTCAGATAGTAGGCTTCGCTGAAGTTGGTAGGGCCTTTCGGTTCGCCTCCACTACATG